TCGCGAGATAATCATTGACTCTTTATTAACGAGACAAAACTTTCACGAATTGTTGTCATTGCTCTATATAATCTTAAGGAATTCTATTATACGCGAGAATGAAATTTTCGCGAGCATACCGTCTCGCGTAATTACGCGAAAATAAAGTTCTCGCGAATAAAAAGTGATTTACAGTAATGCATTATCAATTATATACATGTATATCCCTGTGAACTTGAAGTTAAAGACACCACAGAGTTTGCCACAACTGTTTCATATCTGGATGTTTTAATGACTAAAGACGATAAGTCCCAACATCTAAACTGTATGATAAAAACTATGATTTTTAAATCCTCAGTTGTAATATCCCGCATTATTTCCATTTTTATTTGTTTTCTTTGTGATAACTCTATGAAAGTTACTAGAGTTGATTTCTTAATCATTCTACCGGAATGGAAATTTCCCCAAGCAACTAAGGAGGCCTAATATGGATGTAAATCTCGTGCGGCTGTCATTAAGTTTGAGGTCACTGGGCAGGGAATAATGAAATTGACATGGGAGGCTTCACATAATTTAAATTTATTAGTCTACATTTTTAAAATCTAAATTTACAATGTTATTTCACAATAATTCATGCATAATGGGCTTCGCCCGTCATGCAAATTATCTCATATTTCCAACTATTGTTGATGCCCAGGCATACTTTACTAACTAGACAGTGATTCCTTAAATAATCTGCATATGGTGTTTACATCTCCCAACATATTCGAGGGATAAAGGATTTCAACAACCTCGTTTTAATTCAGTATTTCGTAAATTCTTTGGTCGTTTTAATGACTTTGTTAGCAAATATAGCTTTTCATTGAATCGTATTTTGACTGATTTGTTTCATATTAATTGCTAGTTCTCTTTTTCCTTTCGGAATGTTTCTTCTACATGATCAATACATAAGCGCATGATGTGACCGGTTGACAGGGGTTGCTTACTTCTCCTAAGCACCCGATTCCGCCTTTGGGACTATCAGGGGTCTGTGTTTATGTCCTCTCCACATATATTTTTTGAGATCAATCATTGGACGATATCTTCACCTTTTTCTTTTGATTAACTTCCAGTACCCGTGCGTGCGTCATATATTGAAATTTGAAGAAGATTCAGGCTATAAGCTATTTCAAAATTGTAGGGAGCAAATCCCAATAAAAAGTACAGTATTCTTACTTTTCCACGGATTAAAATTTCGCGGATACTAAGATTGCTTTTATATAATGTCCTTATTTAATATTTAGAACTCGGTGAAAATTTTCTTGGAGGAATTTTGACCGCATAACCTAGCGTGAATTATTCCTACACGAAAAAAGGAAAAAAATACTAGTATTGGTTTGTGCGGATTTGATTTCGTGGTCCTAAAATGTTCAGTGGTTTTGCATATGCAATTTTACATTTTTTTGGTGTCATAATTTCGTGGGTCTCTCGATACCTCGAAAACAATGAAAATTAATCACCTCGATAAATAGTGATCTCACAGTATCATTCTATTGTTATTAGCCCCGATCCTTCAACTGTATTCAATAATCCAGAAGTAAAAAAAGATTTAGATAGATTACATGATCCGTACTTCTGGTCCCCGCTGACAAAGCAGGTAACAATATTTTCTTTGTTTGTAAGGCTCATTATATAAATTGTCTTTTAGAAGAACTTGGATTTAATTCTACAAGTGGTAATCCCACTTATACTCATACTTCCCTTTCTAAGGAAGAAATTCTTCAAAATCATATGTCAGTTTTGAATATTTTTAATATCCCACAGAACCAAAATGAATTTGAACTACAATATATATACTGGATTCCGAAACTTCATAAGAATCCCTACAAACAAAGATATATAGCAGGTTGCAGTAAATGTTCAACCAAGCCTCTTTCTTTACTCCTCACTAAGATATTAACAGTAGTGAAGGAGAAACTTCAAGAGTACTGTGCAACAACTTATTCAAGAAGTGGTGTAAATATGATGTGGATACTTAAAATTTCCAAGGAACTTTTGGACAATTTGAAATCAAGACTTTTACCAAAATCAACAGCCTAAAAAATTACGACTTTTCAACTTTATACACAACTATTCCCCACGATATATTTTAAGTCCAGGCTTTTCGATATCATTGACAGCTGCTTCTTCAACTCGAAAATCTACTTACCTTGTCATTGGTCATTTGCAAAATTATTTTATTAAAAAGCATTCTAATTGTACACTCAAGTACATATACTCTGAAGTCGACATCAAAAAGATGCTTGGGTTTCTGATTGACAATAACTATATTGTTTTTGGAGACCAGGTCTTCCAACAATCTATGGAATTTCCATGGTTACCAATTGCGCCCCGTTATTAGCAGACCTATTTTTGTATTCATGTGGAGCAGAATTGGTTCAAAATCTAATGCGTGAAAAGAAGAAAAAACTTGCTGTGGCCTTCAACTCGACATTTAAATATATATACGACGTACTGTCAATTAACAACGGTAATTTCCATTCTTATGTCGATACGATATATCCTGGTGAGCTTGAGATAAAAGATACCACAGAGTCTGACACATCTGTTTCATATTTAGATATTTTACTTGAAAAAGACCTTAATGGTAATCTAATAACCAAGCTCTATGATAAATGTGATGACTTTAACTTTTCTACCGTCAACTTCCCTTACTTATGCAGCAGTATACCTTCGTCGCCTGCATACGGAGTTTACATATCTCAGTTGATTCGATACGCAAGAACATGCCCTATGTATGAACAATTTCTACAACGAGCTAAATTATTGACAAACAAGTTGATAAAACAAGAATTTCAGCAGTCTCGTTTAAAGTCGTCATTTCGTAAGTTCTGTGGTCAATACAATGAACTTGTCAATAAATACAATTTATTATTGATTCAAATGCTGACTGACGTTTTACATACTAATTGTTAGTCCATTATTTATACACTGAATTGACGACGGATTTTTTCGGTTATTTCCCGATCATGACAAAGAGCAAAAGGCGGGTCGGCTGGGAATGCTCACTCCTCTATGACACCTGATCCCACCTCTAATGTTTTGGAGGCCCGTGTTTGCTCTGCTCCTATTTTGTATTGTGTTATGGACTTTTGATCTGGAATACTGTTTGTTATCTCCATATGTTTCATAAAACTGTATACTTGGACTGAAATGACTCAAGGGAAGAAAATATTCACGCCTCCTTGCCCCATTCCCTAGGTACCGATTCTTTTGGCCAAGGAACTTCTTATCTTTAACTTCTTTAACTTTTAATGGACCTGCTCAACGTCATTTTATGGACTTTGATATCGAATACTGATCGTTATCTCCATATCCTTCATTACATAACAAAATTTCGAATTTCTGTAGCTTAATTAAGATTGTTCAAACTTTGAATTATTGCAGGGAACGCTGCTGGTGACACTCTTGGTGATTGGAATGATCATGTACACTGCGACAGCCCAGGGCATGTGTAACGCGCGCTGTGCTTCTGATCGCACGGTCTGCCAGCGAGGATGTAAAAACCTAAGCTTCGCCAAGAAACGGGAGTGCAGCAACAGATGTGAGACGACCTTCACACGGTGTAAGAGAAGGTGTGAAAAACCAACACCCTGGAGCGGATCCTAGATTATCAATTAAGTCTTAATCAAGTTATCAATGTCTGAGTCATTGCAAATAAAAAAAAAACAAGTTTTGGACTCCTTTTTCTTAGTGAATACCATGAAAAGAAGGATGATGACTATACAAGTAAATATGACATTGCAAAGCCCGATTTTAGTACTCGTTCCACATGTAAACAATAAATTGAAAATATCGGCCCAATAAGAAATAAAATACAATAAGTAAATGACATCAAACAATATATTCAGTTCAATGCAGTCCTCATATATCGACTTGGATTTTACTAAAAATAGATTTAACAGATTGTAAATATTCCAAATTCATGAATGCGTAAAAAGGGAAATATTTCCATTTCTAATTTTTTTCTCTGCGATAACTCTTTGAAAGTTGTCGGAGTTTATTTCTTGATAATTCTGCCGGAATGTAAATTAACAATCTTTATTGCCGGGATCTCGTTCCACATGTAAACAATAAATTGAAAATATCGGCCCTATAAGAAATAAAATACAATAAGTAAATGACATCAAACAATATATTCAGTTCAATGCAGTCCTCATATATCGACTTGGATTTTACTAAAAATAGATTTAACAGATTGTAAATATTCCAAATTCATGAATGCGTAAAAAGGGAAATATTTCCATTTCTAATTTTTTTCTCTGCGATAACTCTTTGAAAGTTGTCGGAGTTTATTTCTTGATAATTCTGCCGGAATGTAAATTAGGCAGGTCGATAGGTCAGCAGCTAAGGAGGCCTAAAATGCATGCAAATCTCGTGCGCATCTGTCTCTATGTCTGACGCTAAGGAGGCAAAATGTGCATGTAAATCTCGTGCGGCTGCCTAGGTGTTTGACGTCATTGGGCGAGGACTACTGAAATTGGCATGGAAGTCCTCGTGTAAAAGTCTATGCCTACATTTTTAAAGTCTAAATCTACCATTTTATTTCACAATGAAATGAAAATATAAGGAATCACTGTCTAGTTATGAGAGTATGCCAGGGACATCAACAATAGTGGGAAACATGGGATAATTAAAGCATAACGGGCTTCGCCCGTTATGCAAATTATCCCATGTTTCCCACTATTGTTGATGCCCTGGCATACTCTCATAATTAGACAGTGATTCCTTGATTAACAAGTTTAATTTTTAAACATTATATTAGGGGTGAAAACCACATTTCTAAACAATGCATTAGCGGCAGAAGCAAATTAAAAGTGTAAGATAAAAAGAAAATTCTAACCACCCCCATTTCCGACGCCTCTGCATTGACTATCATTTCCGATTACTTCAAATGCATCGGGTTTGACATTTCATCAGTTTACTTTCGATATTTCTTCGTGAAATTATTATTATCGAAAGAAAGACAAGGGTATTATAGCGACTTCCTGTTGCCACAAAGACTAATGAAACTGACAAAACGGATTACTAATAACATATAGACAAGACATGGCCTCGGCTTACACGCAGTCAAAATTTTTAGACCTTAAATTGTGCTCCATTTGTTTGGCACCGTTCAAAGTCCCAAGATGTCTGCCATGCTCTCATTCATTTTGTCACCAATGCTTAAGTTCTCACATTTTGTCAACTTGTGAACAAAAAGATGTACCTTTGGGATTTTCTTGTCCGTTGTGTCGTGAATTTGTTCCTTCTCCGGGACAACCAGATGATTCGGATCACTGGGCAGAAAGATTTCCTGTAAGTACTATACTGGCTCAGTTAACAGAAGAGAGTGAAGCTTTTACAACCTGCTGGGCTTGTAGAAGGGAAAACGAAGACGAAGAAGCAACCGATTACTGTATTACATGTAAGGAAACCCTTTGCAAACTTTGCGCAAAATATCATCGCAGAAATTTAGCCAGTCAGAATCATGAAATATGTTTGATCTCTGAAATAGGGTCACATAATATAGATGAAAATAATGACACAACTTTTTGTGACAAACATGAAGGAAGATATATAGAGTTGTACTGTAATGATCATGATACGCTCTGTTGCGCAGTGTGCATTAGCTCAGAACATAAAAAATGTGACGAACTTATCACCTTTGAAGAGGCTGCAGAAAATCTTAAAAGACGAGGTTTTATAGAAGCATTATTATATGACATCAAAAGAATAAAAAATGAATTAGGAGAAGCTAAAAAGAATGAAGAAGAAAATGCTATAGTGTTGATGAGATGTCTGACAGAATTACCAAAGAAGCACAGCATTTCCAACAAGAAATAATTTGTCATCTGAATAAGTTGATGGAAGATTATCTCAATGAGATTGCAAAGAAAAGGAAAGATGCAGTGCAGAAGTTGGAGAGAGGAAAACTTGACATTACCGACCGAAATGACTTCTTTAGAATATTTGTTGAAACTCCTTGTGTCATTAAATGACAAAGGTAATTACAATGCCTTAAAATTTGTTCAAGTCTGCAACATGGTACAAGAAAAGATTGATCTGTTAGCAAAATATCAAATAAATGAAACATCATTCACCATGTCATCAAAGCTATCTAATGAGTATAAAAAAATACTGAAACTTGGGAATATTACGCTGTTGGAATCTTCAAGAAAAATATGTGAAACAACAAACATCAAAAAAGCTAAATTTTTACTTATTTCAGAAAGTTATATGTTTAACAAAGTGAAGGGTTGCACATTTACTTCCAGTGGCAATATTTTGTGCACAGATTATGGAAAATCACACTGTGTCATTCTTTTGGAAACAAGTTTAGAGTATAAGCCCGAGATAGCTTTCAATGTTGGACCTCATCCATGGGACATGGAAGCAGACAACGGCACATTTTACGTTACCCAGCGCGATGATCAAGTAACACGTGTCCAGAGATTTTCAGAAAACAATTTTCGACCTTTGGGGTCACTGAATGTTGGAAAATCTTGCTTAGGAATCACCGTTGTTGGGGAAAATATTTATGTTGTGTCTGAGAAGTCTCTCATTATAAAAAGGAATAAAAATGGAGAGGGTACTCCAGAAGTAGTCTACCAGCATAAAACAAAAGGATTGCGATACCTGACTAGCATTAGTAATGAATTGATTGTTTTCACTGATTTCTCCTCTGATTCTGTATCAACTCTTCGTTTGAATGTACCGGGAGAAAGAGCTTGGAGGTACACACACCCTGAACTACAGGGTCCTTATGGGCTTGATAAAGACCCTAGCTCTAATGTCTATGTAGTTGGAAAAAAGAGCAATAACATACATATACTATCTATGTCTGGTTCTTTGATAAGAATTTTGAAAGATATAGATACTCCTGTGTGTATTAAGTTCAAGAAGGGTAGTTTCACTTGCTTTCTTGCACGAGAACATACTAAATCAATTAGTCAAGTGATGTTGTATAAATTTGTATGAATATCAAAGTTGCATACTGTGATATCTCAAAATATGGTTTTGATTCCAGCTAAAAATTGAATAAAGTATAACAAAGGATATTTTGTTGTTTAATTTTTTTTTTAGAAGTTATATGAATTTTGATAGATATTGATTAGATATTAGTTCATGATTGAAATATCATTTACATTTAAATCTAGGCCCAAAACTTTTTATATGCCTGTAATAACATTCTTTCCTTTTATTTTTTGAATTCATAAGATTGCGGAAACTGCTGAAGATCTTCAGAGAGCATTAAATGAATTTTGCAAATATTGTGAAAAATGGAAATTATGTGTAAATATTAAGAAAACAAAGATACTTATTTCTTCAAAGGGTAGAGAGCCAAAGAATATTTTTACAGATAATGGCAGTGTCATAGAAGTAGTCAAGAATTTTAATTATTTGGGGATTGTATTTTCTCGTACAGGCTCATTATGTAAAGCAAGAAAACACCTATGCGAACAAGCACAAAAGGCAATGTATGTTGTGATACATAAAATTAGGCAGTTTAATATCCCCTTCGAATGTCAATTGGATTTGTTTGATATTTAGTAATTTTACCAGCATTGTCATATGGCTGTGAAATATGGGGTTATGGAAATATTGATATTAATGAACGACTACATTTACGTTATTTAAAACATATATTGAATTTGAAAAGTAGCACTCCAAGAAATATGATTTATGGAGAAACTGGAAGGTTTCCATTACACATTAATATTTACTCAAGAATGATAAAATACTCAGTATTGGGCAAAACTTGTGAATGGAAAAGAAAATAAATTGTGTAGAATAGTATATGTGTATTTACGTAAACAGCATGATAAAGATGAAATTAAAAACTCATGGATTTCATTTGTATAAAAGATTTTTGATAGATGTGGTTTATCAAATATATGGTATGAGCGCGAACAATATTTTTATAATGTAGAATGGATAACTGCTACAGTCAAACAAAGATTAAAAGATCAATATATTCAAAAGTGGAATAGTGAAGTCCAAGAATCTTCAAAAAGTTTAAATTATAGAATTTTTAAAACCAATTTTGAGTGCGAAAAATATTTAACACATCATTTAAATTTAGAAAAACTTTTATTAAGTTTCCTTCCAATTGAAACAGGTAGATGGAATGGTACTCAAAGAAATGAAAGAGTTTCTAGTTTATGCAGTTGTAACCAGATAGGAGGTGAGTATCATTATATTTTAGAATGTAGTGCTTTAAACCAACTAAGGAAAGTTTATTTGAACCAAAAATTTTGCTCTAAACCAAATATTATTAAGTTTTGTGAAGTCATGTGCCAAATTGATGTTGATTCTTTGAAACAATTATGTACATTTATCTCTAAAATTAATAGCATTGTTATCACCTTCTGCTTGACCCACTGTATTATATGTATATATGTTTTATATGTTTTCATACTTTATGTACCATTTACATGGTTTTGAGTGAATAAATTGAATTGAATACGCGAGTTTCGAGATTGTATAACTCTCCTACGATAGAGGCGCAAAAAGTATCCATTCCAGCATGGAGGTGGGACAGGTTGTTTCTATATACAAACGTGCATAAATAAATGAACGATAATTACGGATTTTAAAATTTATTAAATGTTATAGAAATATATTAATGTTAAGCAGTGATGCATTTGATGATTTTATTAAGCTCAACTAAGCATATTTACTTTAAACATATATTGAGTAATTCAATCAGGATTGGGCAACAGGCAATGCCTATGTACACCCTCTCCTTGTATAATAATAACTAAGCATATTTACAAATCTACTTTAAATTATAGGTACTTGAAAACGGAAGAAACGTCATGTAGTCTTTATAAAGTAACCGATTTTCTTGATTGTATAAACATTTTCTAAAAAATTAGTGGGTTTTTTGAAGTTACAATACGGAAAAAATTCAATGTGTCATTTAGTTTGCCGACGTGCAATGATCAGATGCATGTGTACCGTATTTATTAGAGGTCCATATCTACGAGGGTTGATCCCAAAGTTCGTGGAATTTCTTTCTAAAATTTTATCGTGATTTGATAAAATCAATCAACAGGCATATTCATAATATATAGTCATAATGCAACAATATTGGAAAATTTCACAACTTTCCAATTACCAATAAGGTCACACGAGATTTCTGAAAATGGATAGTTGGGAAACCCGGGGGAGACTTCGACGTAACGTCGTTAGATATGTCACGTCACGTTATAGAAGCATCTCGCCCAAATGTCCAATTATAATAGGTAATTCTACAAAATGCTGCCTTTTCTCCAATTTTTTTTCTTAAGAAAAGCCTGGGTATCCTCTCGCACCAACTTATCTTCATTTTTTACTCATATTTCAAAATACTACCCATCTTTGCATATGATGTTCCAATTTCAGTAGCAATGTCGAGAACAGTATGGCAGCCGACAACGCCCATTAACGCTTTTAATTTGTCTAGGGAGATACGTACTGAAAAAGAGCCTCTAAAAAGTGACCACACCTTTTATCAACGTCCATGGAAGTTCTATTTTTCTTAAATTTCTTATGCCACTAGAAAACAAGTAACTAAATGCATTTTTCCCAAGCCTATGTCAATAATATACGCGTTTAAGATAGAGTGATCCCGGGATTTTCACAAAACGTGTGACTTGACCGAAATTTGACGTTATCTAACAACTTAAAGATGAACAATAAATCATCAACTTATAAATTAAATATCCAGTAAAATCGGTAAAACTCTCACACAAAGGTTTATAAAAGATCAAACAATCGTAATAATAACATAATTTTCGTTTTATATACCACATAGGGCGGTTTAATTCTTATTTCACGTATTAAGAATTAAAATGATAATAAACGCGTTAATGTCTCCCCCGCCTATCCAAACAACCGTTTCTATGGCAACTGCCATAAAGTTACTATCCAAGATATTTAAAATGTTTTTTAATTTAGAATATTCATCAAGTGTCTATAATTTCATTTGTAATTTTCAACCAATTCCACTGAAAAATAAATAGAATGTGAACAAATTCCACGAACTTTTGGATCAACCCTCGTATTACCTCGTCTGAAAAGTTTCACATCCCCTAACATTTTCTTTTTTTTGTTCGATTTTTTTTTTTTGCTTTAAAAAATGACGCCTTTACATTAATTCGGTTATTCTCAAGTTGTATAGTGCATCCTGACAATCATGTAGTTATGATAAACTAGTATATCGATGATGCAATATATCCAATATAAAATCTGTCCCACCTGTTTACGCGACAACGAAACTCCCCTCCTCACCGAAAGAGCGCACCAAGGGAGATAATCTCGAAACTTGCATATTGAATAAGACCCGATCGAATACAAGTATATTGATTGGCTAGCAAAATAATTAGCATTATATATTATGTAATATAATAAACAATTTGGAATGCGTGTTATTTCTTGAGAAAAAGACGTCGGGGATATTTACTTTCCTTTCACTGGCATCTGTCGTTACATATTTTTCTTATAAAGTTGACTTTTAAAATGAGGTATATTATTGACAAATAAGTTGATAACAAAGGGTATCAACAATTTTGCAGAGCATGGCATTAGTAGTAATTAATGTGGTAGAGATGAACATCATATGCATGTGATTGTTACGACGTCAATAAGAAAAACTGACGATGAAAAAGCTGAAATCATCTAGTATAATTTGTCATACATTTAGAAGTTAAATGTTCTATAGTTATCATTTATAGACAGTGAAACATCTAAATATTAAACAGATGTAGCAGACTCTGTGGTGTTTTTTTAAATTTCAAGTTCACTATCATATTTATCATATTTATCAAGTCGACATGATAGATTGATAATTGTATTTGTTGACAATCTCATTTAATCGACCGTAGAAATTGCGAAATGATGACTTTAAAGGGGACGGTCGTTATTCTTGTTTCATCAACTTGTTTGTCAATAATTAACCCCGTTTAAGAAAAAGTTCGTTCAAGGTAGCTTTTGCTTATAGAATCAAACCCCATTTGCAGATGGTAAGGGTGTATTGATTCATAAATGAGGAAAGTTGACGATTGAAAATTTGAAGTTAAAGCAAGATTTTGAAAAATTTCTGCTTCATATAAATATAAAAATAGGTTGGCTAATTGGTACTTCTAACACTGAATTAACGATACATATTTTAGATTCTCTAGAGAATTCGACTTTCGATTTAAATTGTCATTAAGGGGGCCGACTCGAGTTTCCATTGCGCAACACTTCACGCACTATAGTAAAATGAAGCGCATTTACTGTTTTATAGCAACTTTTTTCACTTACGAGCGTAATTAACAAATTTAACAATATTGAGAAATTACAGGTTGAAAAATTCAATTACAATTTTTATGACCGATTTTTAAAAGGATATTTTAACTGATAGGTAGATTGACGTCGTAAAACTAGACAGTATAGAATTTTGTGTTTCTTACATATAATGTATAATATAGTATTACTCATCATAAATTATAATCTGAGCAAAAAGTCTATTGTAGTTTTCGTATAATTTGCTTTAAATTGCGAAACATCGGGAGTTTCCTTTATAGTAGATGTACCTGTATTTTGAGACGGTCCTTTTAAATACCTGGATGGTAGATTTTTCTCAAACTTGGCATGTACATTGAAGTCAATGTAAGTAAGATATTTTAAAAAATTAAGAGTTTCGCTATCGAGTTTTCGCACAATAAAACCCCAGTCGGCTTCCTTACATTGCTAATCTAACAGCTTCTTAGAAGTAATCTATATGACAATTGAGTGACTTTAGCTTTTTCATCATCAAATTCCCCAATGTATAGAAAAAAATATTTCACATTTATCTAAATATGGAGTTTTCCACCCAGGTGATTCGGTAGGACGAGCTTACTTTCTGAGTATTAACGATTTTTAAAAGAAGGCAGGATATTTACAAGTAAATTAATATTACAGAGCTTTTAATATTCTAGTTTGAGGGCAGGGTTTTGTAAACTCTCTGATTGTAAAAAGAAAGCATGACATTTTCATTAGAAGCATCTGTTTTTATTTGATTCCCAAACAAACACAAATCATTCTTTCTTAGAATCAAACAATCTATGCTGGAAATGACTTAAATCAGTTTCTTCGACATCGTCTATTGCAGGTTGTGACGGTATTCTCGCAGGTAGCGGTGCATTCCCGTCTCCTCTTACTAGAACTCAATTTTTCACATTTTTTCTGACAGTTTCGGCGAGCGATATTGCAGCGATTTGTACAATTATCAGAAACCGCTGTTGATACGATCATTCCAATGACCAGCAGACAAACCAATAGTTTGATCTTAAAGGTATAGAAGAAAGTAAGTCAGATAATATTTTATACATTTCTTGTGTCAGATGGAGAAACCATATGAAAGCTCATTTAATTAAATGTGAATGCAGTTAAATGAACAATCTTATTCTAACAGTTAAATGTACATTAGTCATACATGTAATTCGATGGTAAGGATTTTTAATTCAACTGCAATAGGATGTCAATTTACTGATAAGAAAAACCCGTATCTCCTTTGAAAGGTATAAATTGCAACGAAGGGAACCAAAAATCTATTTTACTGAAAATTTTTATTTTTACTTACGTTCATTATGCACTTGGTAAACGATTCAGACAATATCTGTGATAGATAAAAGATAATACCATAATAAAAAGAATCTACCGATAGGTTCTAATTTAATGATCATTGGTTAGGATCTCAAGAACTTATTGATAAAGTTCTGAAACTTGCTAGAATTTTAACATCTCTGTGAAACGTGAAATACATACCGATATGCGTCGTTGGAAGGAACTGTATTCTGTTCAGAAAGGTGGGACTTTTATATTATACATAGATGAATTATCAGCAAACTTTGAATAGTTATCTGTCACCAATGTTAAATTTGTAACATTTCTCTTGCATCATCTGGTACTTGACTTTAGGGGTGTGGCTCAGAGAACGTTAGCATAATCATAGCTGCCATTATTCATTATATGGTATGACACAACACTGCAACACTGCATTTTTATCAAGAACTGTTACTTATTTTAGTATCAGAAGCGAAATCATTGCTTTACTCTGAAGTGGACAGACTGTATTTTGCAACTAAAAACAATGTCATGAACAATTATTTATTCATCATTTATTTAAGACAGAATATCAGGGTGTTTGATATGCATTTCTATGAACTGTTAATGATTTTGTTGTTGTTGATTTGAATGTTTTTATAAAAAATAGGGATGGCAATTTGTAACCGGTTGTGATTTTTCTGGCATTGAAAATTAAATAAGCTAAAAAAATATGTTAATGTCTCTAACTTTTGCTGACTGTAAGCAGATAGGTCAAAGTTGCCTTAAATATTCAGAAAAGAACATCAAAAGTGGAGGTATATGATGTAAATTATTAGGTATTACAAAAAAGTGTCAATTTTATGTTAAAATTGGCTCAGTTTTTTTTTATTTAAAATATATTCATTCATAGATATGGATTGAACAGCAGGCATAACTGCCTATGACCGTTCTCTCCAGTTTTTTTTTTCTAGACTTTCAGAATATATTTACTATTTTTGTCAAATTTCATTGAAAGAGTTCATAAGAAATAATTAAATAGATATTTCAGAACCAGTATACAACATTTCACTACAAAAAACAGCTGTCTGTTCAACCAGCATATTAAAATAGGAATCTAAAATTAACAGTACTATATATAGTAGTTCAAATTCAACCGCCGTCTTTTCATGGAATGCAGGATATGGAGATAGCGAATAGTATTCAATATCAAAGTCCATTAAACAATACAAAACAGGAGCAGAGCAAATGCGGACCTCCAAATCATCAACGGTGGGATCAGTTACCATGGAGGAGTGAGCATCCCCTGCCGACCGATCCAGCCGCCGTGTGCTCCTTGTCATGATCGGGAAATAACGGAAAAATCTATTCAATTTGCATTGTAGAATCTAGATTTAATGCTAGAACTTAAAACTGATGCAGAATTTTAGAAATAACTGTCCAGACCAAAATTTGCTCAGAAGCTCATGATCGAACCTCCTTAAACTACAATGTGTCAACAAGGCATTGACTCCATTAAGTTTAGTTTTCTCCATAAAGTTTACTTATATTTAATCCCAGACAGGTTGGGTATAGTATTTCAATATAGTTGAGTTGACGACTATGTCATGTTTTTCTCGACAATTTTTAAGCATCTGAAAAAATTTTTTTAAAAGGGCAAACATTTAGGGAAGCCGGCTATTTCAACTGAAAACAGAATACATCTTTGTTGAGAAGTATGCCAGACGATGTGTTTAATATGAAAGAAAAGACAATATCTAAATGAGCCAGATTTTTACTGTAAAAACCTCTGTTGAATCACTAGTATTTAAGAGCAATTCTAGGACCGATTTAACTGTTGAGTAAAATACTTTGGAACAAAATGTATTGTTGTGTCCAAAAACTATCTAAAATTCAAAGTTACTAGGTTAATTTAGCCCACACTCTGAAGTTAATGACCAGATAATGCAAGAGAGATGTTACAAAATTGACGACAATGATGGCAGATCATAATTTAATGTTTGTCAATAACTCATAAATGGAAAGTATATAAGTCCAACCTTTCTAACAGAATGTAAATCTTCGAACAACATCAAGAGGTATGTATTTTCATATGTTTACTGTAATGTTAAGCTTCTTGTATGCTTTCTGTCAAAAAAGTGTTCATTTCATGAAAAAAATGTTATATTTTCCGCAGATTAGAGGCATTGTCCCTTATTGAGAGCAAAATGAACGTAAGTAAAAGAAGTTTTGTGAAGGTAAATTTTACGATCACTTCTATAAATTGTGCTATCCAAAATAAACACTTTATGAACATATGTCAAATGTTCACGAACGTTCAGGAAATCTCAATTTTCCTTTCTCAAATGTATTTGAAACATTTCATTAACAGTATTTTAATTTCATCATCTGCTCTTGATTTGGTTTTTCCACTAAACATCAGAAATGACTGCTTACCAATTTTCAGATCAAATTATTGGTTTCTCTGCTGGTCGTTGGAATGATCGTGTCAACAGCGGTGGCTGATATTTGCACTGTTCGCTGCAGCACCGCTCGCCGAGGCTGTGAGGAAAGTTGTAAGAAACTGAAGGCCAGGAGGAGACGGGACTGCGTCGCTAACTGCGGGAATACCTTCAATATCTGCAATGGACGATGTAGAAGAGACTAACTCACTTCCTGGATTGGTCGTGAAATTCCAAGGAAATTAATCTGATTCATGATCGAAATCAAATTAAAATAATTGTTTCAAACACGTTTTCTTGTTCTCTTTTTGTTTCGAAAATATCATCACATTGATGGATTCCAAAAACAGATAAGTCTCCTAATTACAATTAAATTTTACCTATATATATGATACTGTGAGTGTCTAAATATATACTCAGTTTAATCACAAGAACTAATTTTGGAGGTTGTTATTGAAATATATAGGTGTGTAAAGCTCTTTTCTTAAAAATACCTGTTATCTGTTATCAACTGTATGAAATTCATCCTTAGTACAATAAAATGATTGAGCTTAACATTGAGGTCAATCGCAACTTCTCGGGCCTTTCCAACAAGCAGAAAAACAACCTCGAATGTCACGACATCCCCCCTTTTCACAATCTTTGAAATAAATGTTGGAAGACCTCTTATCTGTGGAGTACGCGGTTTAACTTAATTGAATGTAAAGATATTACCTAAAATATATCGTGCCGTTTAAAAAAATCATACAACACATTATCTTCTAAAACTGCAAAAACTGTGGAAAAACCACTGACCAAAATTAAACATGATAAAGGAACCATAGTTTTAACAACCTGGACCATATCTTTCATCAACCTTATACTGATTCACTCAACATTTCAGTTGATTATAATTTAAACTCAGATGAGGAAGGACATGAATAGTAGATGAGTGAAAATGAGAAGGGTTGTGTCTGTAAGAATTTTTATTTGCAGATGAGCGAAAATTACAAGTGTTGAGTCTGTAAGATTTTGTGAGTAAAGTCAAGAAATTTTTATGAAATTGCATTTTTCAAATGGTTTCAATGTGAGTCATTTGGAACCTGGGTTCATCTCCAGGACTGTTCACCTGTTTGTGCTGTCAGGAAGAACACATCATTTTTAAATTGTCCATGCTGTGAATAAATGACATCTACAATAAAATGTAATTGCAATTAAATAACGTTTGTGCGCATGGAGAGAAATTGTACTCACTGAAACATCTTTTTTCCAAGCATTATCATCATCTGGTATTGCATGTTAATACAATAAATATTAATTATGTGTACATGATTAAATATATTTCATATATTTTTACGATATAATACTTTTCATTTTGATTATTGCCCTAGCTGTTCACCTTATGTAGTAAAGAACTTTATCGACGAATCAAACTATCGGAAACATATGACGCTCCTTTTGATTGGTCAATTACGGTATCCATTTTACTGTTAGCTAGAAAATGCATATGATGTCGACTTTATGCCAATTTTTTGTCAGTGATTTTTAATGAAAAGCCCAAGGTTCAAAATTAAAAGAGTCTGAAAATCTTTGACTGAACTTGAAAAAAATTAGGACCGCGGTTATTGTTAGACTATCGGAAACCCATGACGCCAGGATACTATAGAAGGGAATTTTAATCCGTCTATTCTGTTTTTGATGAAATAGGAAGATGTATAAATTTTTAACATCCGGATTATGTAAAGGTTACAGACTTCTAATTTTACCCCTATTTCATTGACCACGCAAGTAGTACCAGTTCAAAACTAGAGTTTTTTTCTTAAAAATTCTTTGGGATGTTTATGGAGTGGAATGGTGTTATTTTTGGGCATAGGTGGAAAGGAGAGGGGTTGAAAGAAAATAGAAAATTGATAATAATGGGAAATTTTGCACTGAAACGCGTAGTAGGAAGGGTGTTAAGAGGCCCATATTTACCGTTTCCCCGAAGAGAAAATGAAAAAACAAGGTAGGGGTTATTTGCGATGCCATAGCAGAATCTGCATGCTATGAATTTTCCCGAGAGCCTGAAAATTATTTTGGACTTTAATTCTTCTTACTCTGTGCCAGTTTTCAGGTAATTTGAGACGGTGGGATTTTTAAAAATCAATTTTTACATTATAAATGAATGTATAGCAAAATAATTGATAGTCTGTGTCATATGTCCTAAGAACTTTCGAAGTTGTTTTTTCCGACCTCTGAAGGAAAGACCCGAGTCGATGTGATTGCATTAAGGTGAGATGCTAAGATATCAATTTCTTAAAAGTTTTATTTTAGCAATCAAAGATCAGAGGTTCCTTAACGATGTTGAAACACAAAACATTCTATTAACATTTACTATAAAAGTTGTACACCTCGTTTTTGGGAGCCAAATTTTATAATTTGATAAGGATCAGGCTAATAGTCGTCACAAGAGGGTGCTTAGAAACTATAACCCGGAAATTAAAGACCCGTTCATTTATACAATTGTAATAAACCCAAATACCACAACTCCGTAAATATTTAGATCACATATATTTCTTTATTTACATAAATACACATAAGTACATGCAGCCAACAATAAGTGTCCCTAGTGTTACTTAGAAGCTGCAATGAGATAATAACTTACAAAAATTTCAGGTTTCTAGAATTATAACGCCAACGTCTTGATAAGAATTATACAGTCAATACAAATTGATGATTCTTAAGTGAGATCTATCAGATCACATACGAATAGTTGTCAGTTGTAAGAATTGTAACATTTGATTGATGGATGGATTGATTGTGTATTATTGAGCGTCCCACTCGAGAATTTTTCACTCATATGGAGACGTCACCGTTTGCCGGTGAAGGGGTTCAAATTTAGACCTATACTCGGCACTCACGGCCATTTAGCAGTGAGGGTTCTTTATCGTGCCAACGCCTACTGTGACACTGGGCCTACGTTTTTAAAATCATATCCGAAAGACCCGTGACTTTCACTTCTAGTGCCGAGCGCTTGGCGAAGGAACAGTCACTACCTGTGTTTACGCCTTAGGTTTGACGCGTCGCCGGGAACGAGAATCGAACTCGGGCCTCCCGCGATCACGAAGCGAACGCTCTACCATTAGGCTACCATGACCGGTTTGTAGCATTAGATAATTCTTACATTTAAATTTAAAGCATACATCATTTTACCTCAGCACAAAACACTGGCTTCAAATATACTTTGTAGAAGATGACAACAGGATTGTTTTGCAGGTTTCGATATAATTGTGGGGAAAAAAATTAACTCAGTGAAAATGTATTAGTAACACGAAGAATATTTTCCTAACACAAAGGACATAAAAGTAGCACAAAAGTTATTTTATTCAAATATTAATAAGAAATGATAAATTTGTTCCCATTACCTCTCAAAAAGCACTACAATGATATTACCCTGTAAATGTTAATGAAAGTGTATGATTTTATATATAAAATGACTTGTGATTTCATATATTTTAATATATTGAGTCTAAATAGTAACATCAAGGATAAAACAATAACAATGAAATATATGGAGATAACGAACAGTATTCAAGATCAAAAGTCCATAAAACAACACAAAATAGGAGCAGAGCAAACACGGATCTCCAAAACATCAGAGGTGGGATCAGGTGGAGGAGTGAACATTCCCTGCCGACCGGTCACACCCGTCGTATGCTCCTTGTCATGATCGGGAAATAACGGAAAATTTTATTCAATTTGCATTGTAGAATCCAGGTTTAATATTAGAACTCAAAAATGATGCAGGAGTTTAGAAATAAAGGTCCAGACCAAAATCTGCTCAGATGTTCAGATCGAATTTCCTTAAACTACAATTTGTCAACAAGACATTGACTCTATAATGTTTAGTTGTATTTTATCCCCTATAGGTCGGGTATAGTATTTCAATATAGTTGAGTTGAATACTGTGTCACGTATTTAAGGCATCTGAAATTTTTTTTAAAAGGGCAAACATTTAGGAAAACGGCTATTTCAACTCCAAAAACAATACATCTTTGTTGAGAAGTATGCCAGACAATGTGTTTAATATGAAAGAGGAGACACATTATCAAAATGACTAGGGTTTTCCTGTAAAAACCTCTGTTGAACAACTTGTGAGCAATTCTAGGACCGATTTAACTGTTGAGTAAAATACAACTTTAGAAAGAAATGTATTGTTGTGTCCAAAAACTATGTAAAACTCAAAGTTACTAGTATTATGTTAACTTAGCCCACAACTCTGAAGTTAATGACCAGATAATGCAAGAGAGATGTTACAAAATTAACGATGATGATGGCAGATCATAATTTAATGTTTGTTAATAACTCATAAATAGAAAGTATAAAAGCCCAATCTTTCTAACAGAGTTTAAATCTTCCAACGTCAAAAGGTACTTTTTTTCATATATTTAGTGTAATGTTAAGCTTCTTGTATGCTATCTGTCAGAAAATGTTCATTTCATGAAAAAAATATTATATTTTCCGCAGATTAGAGGCATTGTCCCTTATTGAGAGCAAAATGAACGTAAGTAAAAGAAGTTTTGTGAAGGGAAATTTTACGATTACCTCTACTTTAAACATATTTTTATTGAGTATAATTCAATCCTCTATAGACTGTGCTATCCAAACAAACACTTTATGAACATATATCACATGTTCACGAACGGACAGGAAATCTCGGTTTTTATCTGAAGAATGTATCTTTTCTCAAACGTATTTGAAACATTTCAATTTACAGTATTTCATGACCTGAACTTGATTTGGTTGCTTCATTATACATTAAAAATGGCTGCTTACCAATTTTCAGATCAAACTATTGGTTTTCCTGCTGGTCGTTGGAATGATGGTGTCAACAGCGGTGGCTGATGTTTGCACTGTTCGCTGCAGCACCGTTCGCCGAGGCTGTGAGGACAGTTGTAAGAAACTGAAAGCCAGGAGGAGACAGGATGTTATAAAAATAACGACATTGGTGACAGATTGCAATTCAAAGTTTGCTGATAATTCATCTATGTATAGTATAAAAGTCCCACCTTTGTGAACAGTATACAGTTCCTTCCAGCAACGCATATAGGTATGTATTTCACCTTTTACTGAGATTTAAAATTCTAACAAGTTTCAGAACTTTATCAATAAGTTCTTGAGATCCTAACCAATCATTATCTAATAATTAGATTAGAACCTAGATTCTTTTTATTATGGTATTATTTTTATCTATCACAGATCTTGTCTGAATTGTTTACCAAGTGCAAAATGAACGTAAGTAAAGAAAAATCCCAATATATTAGGAATATATATCTTAGTGTATTGAGTTGCAATTTATGCTTTCTAAAGGAGATATGTTTTTAGGTAAATTGACATCATATTAAACCAAAAATAAAATTATTAATTATATACATTTAACCGTTAGAATAAGAAGATATTTATTTTACTGTATTCAAATTTAATAAGATAAGTTTCATTTGGTTTCCCCATCAAACATCAGAATTATCATCAAAGATTATCAACTAACTATCTTTCTTACTTGTAAGATCAAACTATTAGTTTCCCTGCTGGTCATTGGAATAATCGTGTCAACAGCGGTGGCTGATATTTGCACTGTTCGCTGCAGTACCACTCGCCGAGACTGTGAGGAAAGTTGTAAGAAACTGAATTCCAGGAGGAGACGGGACTGCGTCGCTAACTGCGGGAATACCTTCAATGTCTGCAATAGACGATGTCGAAGAGACTAACTCACTCCGTGGATTGGTCGTGAAATCCGAGGAAATTGATCTGATTCATGATCGAAATCAAATTAAAGAATTTTATCAAACACTTATTTCTTGTTTTCTTTTTACATTCAAAATGAATGCATATTGTTTTTATTGATTCTGAAAACAGATAAATCTTATATTATACGTATGAAACAAAAAGAGGTAACGAACAATCTTTAAGATCAAAGTACATAAAACAAAACCCAGTAGGCATACAACGTTGTTTAAACGTTGAATATTAACTGAAGTTGGGTTTAGACGTTGATATTGATTCAATGTTGACTTTTCAACGTTGAAAATATAACGTTGATTCAACATTGAATTCAAATTGAGTTGAATTGACATTGATTCAACGTCGGTCTTTGCCGAGGGGTCCAATCCTATTTTTCGTTGATAGATAATTCGGACTATAATAGTGTCGGACTATAACACTGTCGTACCATAACGGGGTCGGACTTGATAAAGTCGCACTACCGTATTTCATTTCTAACTATTATAACCAACAAGGATGGTAAATTTATTAATGATAAATATGAATTCAGTACGAATTTGCCAAAGTACGAATTAAGAGCACATTGAAGACTATAGACTAGTTAATTGATCTTCATAGTTTGAGAGTATGACAACTTGTGTATGCTAATTGTTAGGATATATAGCTAACTGGGTCAAGGATTCCGTAAAAAAAGGGAGGGGTGATCACTTGAACATGTTGAAAGGTGAAGTCTACCCTCTCCATCTACCATTTGTCAAGCTTTTTGGAAAAGGAGGGGGGTGGGGGGGGGGGCGGGGGTAAGAAATTCCCTACTGTTTTAGCGTATCCATTTCTTTGTTGTTTTTTTTATTTTATGAGTAAATAAATTATAGGTTTTAAAGTAATTTCCCCTTTTTTCATGTCTTGAATTTGAGTTTGTTTAACAGTTGTAAATAATTGTTTTACGAAATGTAAATAAAACTGCTGCACAAGTTTGGGTTGAGAAATTCATGTGTTATACTTTTTCTTTGATTGAACACACACTTTTAGCATTTTTTTTTTCCTTTAGTTTCCTGTTCCACTTTCAATTTGCTTCATTTTATTATGTGTTTTTTGTACAGTAGGCATGGCCCATAAAGAAAGGGAACAAATTTGCAGAAATAGCTAGATTTAGTCTATAAGATAATGAAACTTAAATCCATTGCTTTAAACTCTCATATTTACAATAAGATGCACTTTACAAAAACAGCCAAGGTCTGAGAAAAGCAAAGAATTGCAAATGCACAAAAACAGTTTATTTGCCATTTCGTAATTATTAGTAGTCTTGTTGTTTAAATTCTTATCCACGGAGGCAGGTCAATTTCTGGAGTAGTCTAGAAATAACATTTTTGCAAAAAAATCGAAAGGTTTATGAGAGGATGGAATCAGAATCAGGAATCCACTATATTAAATATCTTCATGAGAGCGTAAAAACCCACATGCCATGAAGAGTAAAGGAGTGAATAAACATATAGTTAAAATTTTGTCACACCAACAATATTCGGCAGATGTGTCACCCTTTGACTTGTTTTATTTTCAAACTTGAAAAACACCTTTCAGAAGGAAAAAACAAGTCAAGGAAATCATTGGATCTTCCATATTCTAGTATACGAAAGACCATACTCAAAAACATGTTCTAAAAACAATCAGAAATTGGATAAAAATGTTACGAACATGTGTTTTAATTAATAGAGAGTACTTAAGTGGAATCATTTAGACTAAATACACGTTATTGAAAAGCGCTTTTTGTTTCTTTCCGAGCGACCAGGACATTATTTTTTAAACAGATCTCGTAGTTGTGCTGCCAAAGAGAATTGCAAAAATACTAAAAATGTGACGGTTATCGGTGTTTTTTATCGATGTTTATAAGTATAATTTAATTTAAATTTTCATGATATTTAATACAAAAACTACATCAGAGACCAAGCCTTGTTTCATATTATACCCCATCTGTCACGAACTGGTAACTTTTTGTTTTAAGTTTATCTCTTATGAAAATGAATTTGAAATTCTGATTCTACAAAAATACTATGAGTTTGATCTTCAAAAGAATCTGGGAGTTCCTCATTGACAATTTCGACTAATCTTATGAGACCAGATGTTCCAACAAACCGTTGAACGTCTAAGCACTTACTGAGCTCCCTTATTAGAAGACCTTTCATTCACATTCCTATGGAGCAGAATGTTTTTAAATATGAAGAAGAAATCAATAGTGATAAACAACTAAAATTAGACGGTATCTCCAAAAATCTGCATATTTTCAAATTGCTCATAAATGGAAAGTTTTACGCACCTAAAATAAAAACATTACCGTGGTACTATTTGTGTCAACATACTTCCCATAAGAATTGTTTCTATGAAATGATTTGTTTAATCCCTACAACTCAAGCGAATCGTAAAAGAATACATTAGTATAACCTTTGCTTTAAATTTTAATAAAGAGGGATCGAGACTTTTTTCAAACTCGTTCATTCTTGGCGGACACAAACTAATCAATTGATCATTTTGCTCCTAAAAAGAGATTTATAAGCTCATAAGACATCTAGATTTAATTGCCTTCAAAATAAATAAGAGTGTTTTTGGTTTGGAGTTCTCCGTCAAAGGACTTTCCGAAGTTTTCCATCAAACTTACAAACCTGTTATACTCAGTAGGCTTATACACTGTAATATTTAAGGAGGGTTTGGTGACGAGACTTTTTAAAAATAGAATCGTCACAATATTCATTATGATGACAAATAAAGTCATCCTTTTGTACAGTGATGAAAAAGACTGTAAGATGCAATTTTTTTTAAGCTTTTATATTTTTGAGATTGCTTTAACTTTAACCTAAAATATATTTAAGAATCTCAAATCTGGACTTTATGCTTTCATTGGCTACGTGTTGTATGCCCTATTTAGAGATTTGTATTGTTTGTTTTTAGATCGATCACTGTTATCATCACCACAAAGATCTAGCATCTTGTTCTTCGACTCCTGTCCAGAAAAGCAATGGCTGGAGAAGAAAATAGATCATTGTATACTCATGCCTTAAAGGTGCTCCGATAAGATTTGGAGTTTTTATTTTTCCTCAACTTTTTGGTATATTATCATGTCTTATATTTTATTATTGTATTTCACACGGAAATATAATTTGAAAAGTTTACTTTATCTTGAAATTATTGAAATTATAAATTTTGTGATGCTTTTGATTGATGCATCTTTGCACTTTCACAAAGGAAATTTAATCCTCAATACTTAAGAAAAGTAAAAATTTTGTTGTGTATTATTAGTTACACAGTCAGTTAGTAACCTTATACGGAGTCATACAGGGTGTGAAATGGAAATCCTTATTGGGCGAGGCGAAGCCGAGTCCCAATACGGATTTCCATTTCACACCCTGTATGACTCCGTATTAGGTCACTAACTGACTGTGTTACGAATTTATCCCGCTGAAGACCTCCTTAAATATATAAAAAAAAATCCATGCGCATATTATGAAAATATCAAGTTTTAATCCAATAACAATCAACTAAAATATCGTAACAAGAAAACTACCTACGCAAACCGTTTCTTAGCCGCCATTTTTTATTTACAACAACAACGCTTGGAACGAAATCGCGTTCCCGATTTTCATTAAACTCCTTGACGGCGACATAACACGGAAAATTTCAGGGCGTTATGTGATTAGCTTTTATCCAGTCAGTAATCTACAAAGAACTTTATGCAGTATATTGCATATTTTTGCCCCCACAAAAGTCAAATTTAAAAAATTCTTGGAATGTGCTGAATTCTTTAAATTGTGTTAGAAATATAAATTAATAGAACATATTATAGTTTCAAAGTAGTTTATTGACAATTTGTGTTTATATGACGTCACAAACTAGTCCGATTTTATATCATTTTTTAAAAGAGGACAAAATGGACAAAATTTCAACAATTTTAGCTTTAAAAGTTATAGAGCGCAACATTGCTCAGGAACAATATTTACAGATTTCATTGATATTATCATTCTACACATTATATCAAAGATTTAGCCTGATCAGACCTGTGCTCGGTGACTTTTACTAAAAAAATCGATGTAATATTTATATTTTTCTATAGATATCATGGAAATGTTAAATTTACTTAATATTTGTGACGTCATTTCAAACATATGACGTCATTGCTTATGAAAACATTCAGTGTTTTGAAGTCAGCATATATTCCCGGTTTTAAGAACAAAATTAAATATTTTTCCGTCAAAGTTTGATGGGGGGGGGGGGGCAAATATTGGTTATTACCGAATAAAGTTCTTTGTCTGAAGCGGGATAATAATGAAATATATTCCACCTATAACCCAGAAAATTCAGAGTAAAAATGTGACAAAGCAAAACCAATTTAACAGTTTTGTCAGTCCATGCACAGTGATGTGAACAGAGTTTAATGAATTGACCCCACTCTAGGTGAAACTAAAACACAAATAATAACAGAGCTCGTGCAATGTTAAGAAAAAAAAACATTTACACATTAATAAAGCTTCGAAATTTCAGTAACTGCTTTGAGTGAAGTGTCTTATGAATAATTTTTTTTTTACAAAAACTGTTGATAAATTTTAATCCTTTATTTTTTAAGTTTTGGTCATCAGACATAGACATCAATCAATCATAGCAGATTCTTTATGTCTGTTTCATCTGATGATTCCATCAGCCTGAGTTGCATTGAACTTTGCACTTTCCGAATTTCCTCTCGCACCTGTCTCTACATTCCCGTCGTGCGGATAAACCAACCATGCGGCAATTGCTATGACAATTATCTCGCTGGGTCCTACAGGCCCTTTTGCAGGCCTTAGCCGACACTGTAGTCATCACGAGACCGATGACCAGTAAGGCAATCAAGAATGACTTCTGAATATAGAGGTATCAACGTTAATTAATGTTATCCAAATCAAAAAAGACTAAAAAATATAAAAGCACATGTGTTAACTTGTTTTCAAAAAAGAATTCTGAATATAGAAATATAAAAGTATCAATTCACTATATATATATATATA